GTGCAATATGATAGTCATTACAGTGCAATTTATATAACACTATTGTGCACATACATCACATGCATTTTTTAATTATTTGTTCCAAATCAAACTAAAACTGAACTCAAATAATCGGTTTATTTGATTAACTAATCAAATTTTCCTAAATAATATAGACTTATTATTCATACTATGAAAAAATATATTTAGTATTTTAATATTTATATTTAATATTTTACATTATTACTGAAAGCAATAAAGTACACTACCGTAGATGCAATCATGTTGGCAATAACGTGCATTACAACATTATGTGAAGTCGATTGATTTTTTATTTTATTTTTTTGTTTTTTTTGTTTTTTTTCTTGGTTTTTTTTTATGCGCATTCAACTTTAGAAACTTTAATAATGTGTTTAAATTAACGCTATTTTGTATTTATCAAGTAACCAACATACGATAAACTATATGTAATATATCTATTTTTATTTAATATTTTATATTATAGTTTGTGGAAAAGAAATATGTTGCTTTTTAATTAATTTATTTGTATTAAAATTAAGTCGAATTCAAATTGAAATAATCAAAAGTTTAATATACATGAAAACACACAATTTTTTTATGATATTGTGCATTCACAAAGGCATGAATGTGCAATCAGTATACCACTAATGTGCAATACTATAACTACTAATATTCATTTGTTGGTGTGCTTTAGTTTTTTTCTTTTTGTGTTCAATCAAACCTAAACCGAAATAACCTAAGTAATATAATAATTTATTATTTATATTATAAAAAATATTTAGTACTTTAATATTTACACTTAACATTTATATTACGTTTGGTTGAAAATAACATGATATCTAACATTTAGAAATCAATAATATGTATCTCCACATGCAATAATGTGCATTCCGTCGGACATTGTTGTGTAGTCTATTGATGAATATTTTTATGTGCATTTGAAGAAACTTTAATGATGTAGAGTTTAATTAACATTGTTTTGCTAGTTTCAAATTATATAAAATATAATAAACATATATTTAGCATTTTATAGTTATTTATTTATCATTTTAGATTACTGTTAATTGAAAACAAGCAACATATATATTTAATTAAAATCTAAAAATATTTTTTTAATATAGTTTGTTCAGTTTATGTTAGTTTTTTAATTTCTCTTGTAACTAAAGCCAAAACCGAATTAAAATAATCGAATTTTTAATATTTGCAAAAGCGCACACTACTATTCTAATGTGTGTTCTCAATCCTTAATGCCCATTTGGCTTAACATTATATTGTACAAACGATATTTGATAAAAGTAACAATGTACTCTTTGATTTTTTTCATGTGATCATTGAACACAGTATTACGACAATGTGCATTCACATACACTCTAATGTGCATTTGTTCTATTATTATTGTGCAATTTGCATATAAAGGTATTTTTTATGGGCACTTCTATTTTAGAAAACTTTGATAATGTGTATTTCAATTAAAATTATTGTGCAGTCTGATAATCACTAAATTATATCTTGATTATGCCGCAACTTATTGCATTTTTTAATCATTTATAAATTACAAAAATTATGTAATTAATGCTAATTTGGACATTTTTAAATCTATAAAATTAGGAGAAAATCTTGAGAAATTACGATGTATGTAATTTTATTTTATTTTATTTTTTGTCATTTTTTAAGCACTCAGTGCTTGTTTAAGTTTTTAGGATAAAAATATACAAACTCATATTACCAACCCACAAAATTTTCTTCAAAATATCTTAGTCAAATACAAGAAATTAAAACAAATCTTTAAAATATTTGAACTTAAAGTTTGTTTCAATTGTTAAGTCCAAGTAAAATTTATGCATCATATTACCACTTTTGTTAATAGTGATCAAGACGACACATACACAACCAAATTTAATATTTTGCAGATAAATCCTTTGGACTTGTCTAATTTACAAAATGTAGTCTTCCTTAATTGATATTTTGCAACATAATTGTTGTCGAGGCCAAATCTTTAATCTTCTAAATTTGGTGTATGATTATTTCCGCCAAGCAGACTACGCAATCGGGATCTCGGCAGACGTCGGCGTTGGGATGGGCGGAGATGGCGTCGGGGAGGGTGGAGATGGTCGTCGGCCCGTGCTTCATGGCCATCGACCAAACCTAGTCGTGGAGAGAGAATAAGTGGGCGGCCGCCGCCGAAGTAGAGGCTGCTGAACCATATGCAGGCGGCGACGGCGGCATAGGCAAATGAGTCCATGGTGGTGTCGATATTTCGTCCATCAAATTACCGTCAAAATTTGCCCATAAACCTTGTTGGGGCTCTGAATTTGTTCGATTCCATCGAAATTGATACCGTCGATTTCTCAAATGCTCGATTTCTCAAATACCTTGTTGGATGTGGTCTTCTATCATCTGTGAGGATGGGGGCAGCGGATAGCGACGCTGGTCAGGTTTGGGCGGTCGTGGACGCCGGCGACAGTGGGCGGCGCTGGAGATCGATGGGCTGGTGTGTTGAGAGAGAGAGAGAGAGAGAGAGAGAGAGAGA